AGAAGTGCAGATCGGCGACGATGTAGGGCAGAGGAGGTCCAGCGACCTAAGGAAGCGGTGGGGCGAAGGGAGGCTGGGTTCAACGAGGTTTGTCTGGGTCCGCGTGTTGGAGACCATATCGGCTTGGGTCAGCACCGTAGGGAGCAAATCATGGCTGGGTTAGCGCCGGAGAATGGGCGGCGGCCCGGGAGGCAGCGATCAGAGCTGGCCGACGGCCGGATGGTGTTTTTTCCTTAGTCTTTGAATGTTATTTTATTTTTGTGTCATTTTATATTAAGTAATAATTAAGGTTTACATTTTAAAATATCTTTTATTAATATGTAATGGCATGTCACATCAGTAATTGTTAAAGTTATAGACGTAAATGAATGGAGGAGGTATTTTGAATATTTTTTATACATTAAAGGTGTTTTAAATTGTTTTGAAAAATAAAATGACATTTTGAAACAAGATACATATTTTATGAGTATTTATGAAAATAATCATTACTTTATTATGAAATTGTGGTTGTAAAAGCTAATTCATTCCTTTCGTGAGTTTGAGTTGAGAACCTAAGTTAAAAATAAATTTATAAATATTATAATAAAATTATAAAATTTAAATTTTTATGAAAAAAACACTATAATAAAATGTTTGAGTTGCAATTTAATTTATGAAAAAATAAATTAAAAGGTTCAAACCCAAACAACTATTTCAATATCGGGATGTATTGATTTGGATTTGATCACTTAAATTGTTTGGTTTGGTATCAAATGACCTCCAAACGGTTTGTATTACATCTAAAATAAACAGTAATTTGGTAAATTAAATTAAACACCAAAGTGAAGTATACGAAAATAGAGAAAAAGATTTGCAAACTATTTTGAAGATATTATTTTTGAAAAAAAAAAATGTAGAGAGAGAGAGAAAATACAATACCATTTTTGAGAAATAGGAGGACGTGGGCAAGATAAACCAAGTCTCTAAGGAAACAATCATTCTCCAGAGAGTGCCTTGAAATATAAAGACCCTTTTTTTTTTGGTAGAAAATCATTTATTGAAAGATATAGGCTTGGTTCTACAGTCCACTAGCACATTATTAATTTACCCCCGCCAATTACAGTGACTTGCTAACTAAATTATATTTAATTACACCAGCCTTTATGTTGGCGATTTTCTTCTCCTAAAGCAACATTAAGAAAGTTACATTCTACTTATCCTAATTTTTTACTTTACATGGAGTCAATCTTGAAAAGGATGTTAGTACACGATGAGGCTTGAGAGGCCAACGCGTAATTAGAGTTATTTTCTTGTCTCCAAAGATCGTCCAAATCAAATCTTGAAGTGCAATCAAAGAAGAAACACCCGTCCCTCTTCAACTATCTCTATATATCATCAATAAATCTTGTTTGACGTTTCTCAGGGAAAAAACAATTCCTATCTGTCAATTGATTGCATTCAGAATATGAAGTTGGCAGATTTCTTTGCTGCTTTCTCTCTCTTCCTCGCTTGGCAATTTATGCTATTTGGTAACTTTGAAACAAATAGTTTGAGTTTTTCTTCAAGTAGTACATGCCATTTTGTTCAAGCACATTTATAATTCTTTCACTTCCAATATTTCAATTAGTATTGATAGTATATAAATACAAACATTTTGAAGTAAAACTCATATTCCCATATCATATACTTGATATTTGATAAAATATTTGTGTGATTAATTTTGTCACTTTTTATGCGCAAGATATACCTATAGAACATGGTTTTGTTGCTTCAATTTAAATGTTTTCTAATTAGAATCCATTACGTGCAGGAAACACAAAAGCGCACACATCACATTCTACGTGCACAACAAATGCCAATTTCCCATTTGGTCAGCCACCGCGCCAAACAACGGCTATCCGCTCCTAGCGGATAGCAGATTCTACCTTCCCTCGGACCACACTCGCCGCATCATCGCGCCGTGAAAATGGACAGGACGGTTGTGGGCCCGGACCGGCTGCAACTTCGCTTCTAATTGGAACCGCGCGTGCCAAACTGGCGACTGCTGACGGACGACTCCAATGCAACGGCCTAATTGGCACCCCGCCAGCCACACTCGTCCAAGCAGACCAAACAAAGCCCAACTTCTACGACGTGAGCTTGGTCGACGGCTACAACCTTCCCGTCTCGGCCCCCGCCCGGCCGGCCACGGCAAAGTGCGCCATCAAAGGCTGCACGAAGAATCTGAACGCTTTGTGTCCTGACGAGCTAATTAAAGGTGTTGAGCGACGACGGTGAAGTGGTGGCGTGTAAGAGCGCTTGCTTGTCGTTCAATTTGGACTCATTTTGTTGTCGTAATGAGTTCGGAAGTCCTGAGAAATGTGGGCCCAGCGTGTACTCCAAGATATTCAAGGGCGCTTGTCCTTGGTACTACAGTTATGCTTATAATTCACCGCCTCCATTGGCGAGCTGTGCTGCTAAGGAGTACGTGATTACTTTCTGTTCCTCAACGTGGGGTGGGAATATCACCGTCGGCAGTGATGTTGCGCGTTGATGTAGTTTCTGCTTTGAGGTTCGGTGCTTTGAGCTAATAAGATGATGTGTACTTGGAGCTTTTACTTTGATGGTCTGTGGATGTAAAAGTTCATGATTCCTTTATTTGTTTTTATGGAAAATGCTTGAATACTATAGCTATTTCAACATGTGCGATAATTTAGTTTATTGAGTTATGGAAATTAAAGTGCTATATTTAAATCCACTAGTTTTTTATTTTTTTTCCCCTTAAAGGGCAATTGGCGTTGTTAGCCCCTGAAATTCACGTTTAGTGATATTTTGGGCTCTGTTTGGTAGAGGGATTCGTTCCCTTATTCGAATCATGATTCATAATTCGCTATAGTATTTTTTTTCATAAAAAATTCACATAAATCGAAAATAATTTGAACCACATAGTTTGAATTCTCCAACCAAACGTACCCTTGATCTGTGATTTTTTTTTAAGTCTTTTGATCTATAAAATTCAATTTTGACCTGACATGTGGTACAATTGACGTGTGACTTTTGAAATTAATGTAAATAATCACATTTTTATCACGTAATAATCAATATTTTACTTAAATAGTCACGGCAACCGTAAAATGATATAATTTTCAATGAGTTTTAATATTGTTAGGGAACAAATTTATACGTACAGCATAAATATCTTTAATTATCTATATTAAATTTTAAAAATCATTTGTCAATTTTAGTATTAGAGACTATAATTGTCAAAGATTAGTATCTTCACATTACATTACATACATAAAAAAACCAAAAGCTTTTCTCTTTCTTTTGACACGTGTCACTATAAAAGGCTTCTCATTGTTTTTAACACATGTCATCATTTTTTCCTTTTGTTTTTTTTAAAATAAGGATAAAATCATTTTAGTACCTTATATTAAACATGTACTTAGTACCTTGTGTTTTTTATAATATTAAAATAATACCTCAACGTTTTTGAAAACATTTTCTTGATATTGTGAAGTTGATTTTTCGGACATATAATCTCCAAACTACCATTCTTATTATTTAAATAGAAATCAATATTTTTTTAAAAAAATCTGAGAATATATTTTAAAACATTAAAAAATTTAAAAGAAAACAAGAAAGTAAAAAAGTTTCATATTTTTCTCTATATTTTTAGTTTTTTGTTAATTAAATAGAATGGTACTAAGGTCATTTTACGTTTAAAAATCAGCTTTAGAGTATCAAGAAGATGTTTTAAAAAAGGCCGATGTACTGTTTTGATATTATAAAAAATATAGGATACCAAAATAATTTTATCCCTACAAAATATTGTCATGATTATCTTTTCTTTTTTTTTTTAATTTTTACTAAATTAAACTCTTAAGGAATAACAAGTTTACAAAATAAATTTTTATAGAAAATTTAGATCTTTGTATTAAAAAATATAGGACGTTTAATACACGTGCGTAGCACATGCTTTCAACTAGTTAGAAATTAAAACGGTCAAAAAATAAGAGTTCAACGAATAATATGTTAAAATTAAAAGTTTAAGAACTAAAATATGACTATATAAACTTAAAGACTAATAGTACCAAATACCTTTAGAAAATTATTGAACTTACCCTAGAGTGCATGAGTCTATATTTTTATCATTTACTCTTGATTAATATCATTTTGACTAATATAATTATTTAACTAAAAGGAGTATTAATCAATAATAAATGGTAAAAATCTAGACCCATACTTTAAGGGGTATTTATCTATTACTCTTCGTTCCCCATATACCTTTAAATCTAGTGAGAATTACAGATTCTATCCCCTAAAGTGCTTGACTTACTAAAAGTACTATTTTTAAAAAACTCTACCTCCTGATTAGTTATAATCTAAAAGGCATAAATATATGTGCTAATATTAAAGGGTATAAATAAAAAGGCTCCATTTAAAGGGATATTCTTAAAAATCACCCTTAAATCTAGTTATAGCTTGAACCTCCCTAAACTGTAGGCCGAAAAACACATGACTATAAGTCGGGCACTTTATAGGAACACCACAAGTTTTAGGTTTGGATTGACATATACCAGTAAACATAAACTATTGCGGAAAATGTCATAGCCAAAAATACTTAAATATCATAAAATTCATAAAAATCATAAATATATACATGAAAAACTACAAAACTCTCACAAAATTCAAAGATACTGAATAGAATACATAAAAGTATAAGTATAATTTTATTGAGTACATAAAAATTAAATGATGTCAATGTGGTATATTTTGTAATAGTTTCAATATTCATGACAAAAGTCTAAGACCCCGTTTATTTCACCGATTCGAGTTTTGCTACAGTAAAAAACTCTAAAAAATATTTAATTTTTTTATTACAGTAAAAAACTCTCATATAAAATTACATGTCAACTCGAATTAAACGGATCATAATATCTCCTACACGTCTTCATTAATGGACCATTTGGGCCACATCATTGGCTCCTTCCTGGGCCTTTTCAATATAACTCGGCCCATCTATGCTGCAGCAGCACTGCGGATAAAGCCGTATAGCGAGTTAGGTCTCGTCTTCCACGCGAGGAATTGCAGAGCAGCGATACCTTCCACAGCTGAAGAACAACTGTCCGAGAGCTTTGTAGAAATCTCCCAGTACGTTATCCTCCAATCTAATTCTGGCCCCACTTTTATTTTGATTGGTAACAAAATTTTAACCATTGTTGTTTCGTTTTGTTCTGAAACGATCTTTTTTTCCTCTTCTCGTGTTATGATTGTTGTAATTGCAAAACTACGATCGATAATTGCTATGTTAATGATAATTGTTTTGATTAATCATAATAGTTTATTTACTGACTTTATTTATTTTGAAATTGAATTGTTTGAACAAATGAGCAATGTGTTTAGGGCCTCAGAGACTCTGCGATCTAGGGTTTCCTTATAAGAGCAACTGTAGGTGTAGATCTGTAAATACGTGTTTCGTAGAACTCTGTGTTTCTCAGAAATCTTTAAGTATGCATTATCAAAAAAAAAAAAAAAAAAAAAAAAACTTCAAATATGCTGTATCCCATAATTGGCTACCCTCTCTTTGCCAAAGTATCTGTCTTTTCTTTCTTTTTCATTTCTTATTTCTTTTCTTTGTTGTTTTCTAAACGAATTCGAATCAGTTGATGAGAGGAAAACTGCGACAGTATGATGGATTCATTTCATGATTCTCTGTACTTAAGTCTCTGATGATTGTTTCGTATCTAACGACTATAATTTCCTTGATTTGTTTCCTTAATTTTTTTGTTTAGTGAAATTAAATCTTCAAGTTATTGTGTTAGATATGATGAGTAATTCTTTTGGTCCGTGTTTGTGATTGAACCGTGAGTCCGTGACTGTAACTCTTCTTAGCGCACTCTGCTCTTACACACTGATTATTTCTAGACAATTTTCACCTTTTTTTTTCCTTCTCTCTTTCTGCTTTTATTTATTTTTCGATTTTGGTTCGTCACTTTTCTGTCAGTGTGATTATCTGCCCCAACTGGTAATATAACACTATTCCGATTTACTGAATGAGCAGAAGGTTTTTTGATGAAGTATGAGAGCTTTGAATCCTACTATTCTTGTCGTTTGCAGTTCCAAGTCTTTTATTTCTTTTTAATGTTCGTATTTAAATAACTTTCTTACAATATTTGTTTGTAGTTGCTTTCCAATTTTCTTTTACTCTTTGGTGTCTCTGCTGTGAGGAAACATGAATAAAAATACTATTTTTTCCGATTTTCTTGGACTTCATAAGTTTTTCTTGAAAAAATTGCTGATGTAGACTATACAAATTGCCTAAGCAGAAGTTTCAATATGTTGTTGTTGTGCTAATTTGATTCCTTTTTTTTTGATTCTTTTTATTTTAAGTTATAAGATTCCAAAATGTGACGTGGAGATTTCTGAGAGGAAGTCCCATGCTTTTAATAGGGAGCAAACTTATTTTGTATGTTTGTAAATTCCCAAGTAAGCATTGACATTCCTTCCAGAAACAGGAGTTCCTCTGTTTTGGGCGGTCTCATATTGCAGCTCCTTATAGGAGCAGCGTTGCTGCCTATACCTTGTGGCCTGGCCATGAGACTTGCATTCCATTTTCAACAAGTGTTGTGTGTGTATATATATATATATATATTTTTTTTTTTTTGACTGATTTATGACTGTATAAAAGATTGATTCTCATGTAGTAAGCATGTATCTTGACATGTAGGGCGAGTGCAAAAATGGGGGGAGGAATGGAGGCAAACAAGAACAGGTTCATAGAGGATTGGGGCGCGGCGAGAGAGACCCTTGAGCAAAACTTCCGCTGGACTCGTCGCAACTTGGCCCTTGTTGGATTGTTTGGCATTGCCATCCCAATCTTTGTCTACAGGGGTATCGTCAGAGAGTTTCATATGCAAGATGAAGATGCGGGTAGACCCTACAGGAAATTTCTGTAAGCATTTAGAGAATGCTTTACAATAATTGTGGGAGTAGTTAAACATGGTTTTTCTGCAGACCACAGAGTTCTATTTCCTTGTATGGGAAAATCGTTCTTTTACTTTTCTGAAATTTGTGGCAAGTGACGTTAGGACGGGTTTTGCCTTTTGACTTCGAATTGTATTTTGCCTTTTGCCACCAAGAAGACAGTATACTTGTGATCGGCCAATTTCAGTCTTTGTAATCTGTTGTCCAGCTTGATTTGTCTTTCGACCACTCTTGTTAATGGAATGGTTCACCCATTTTGTTCGACCACAAACACGCGGCTTTTAGTATACAAAAATACTGCACAGGTAGGATGTTCCAAAGTCTCTGTCTCGTGTATTGTGTCTTTGGAGATGAGTAAATAAAAGGAAAAAGTCGTATTCATGTATCAAGTAAGAATGAGTGTGGAAGCTTGTATATATTTAAAGAAAAAAAAAAAGAATGAAACAATTGAGGATGTTTCTTCGCTTGGTATCACTAATCACTTTATTTGATTGGCCATTTGCACTCTGTCCTTCCTTGTAGCAAGGTGTGCTTCCAGGTACATGCATATACGGTTTAGGTGGCTAGTCAATGAGAATTTGAGATCTGTAAGGTGCGTTTGGAACTCGTTTTAAAATAATTTTATTTTTTGTATGAAAATGGAAATGAAAACACTTTCAATCTTAGACAGAAATCATTTTTAAAAATACGTTTGGTAGTTTATCAAGATATTATTTTCAGTATAAAAAAATCTATTAATGTTTCTCTGTCTCTACTTGAGAGAGAGAGGAGAAAATAAAAATAAAAAATAAAAAACGATTAAAAGTCGTTTTTCATTTCTCTCTTATTTTATACTAACTTAAAAAATCATTTTCATTTATGTTTTTTGTCTTTAATTGTGTCAAACGTCGTTTCTTTTCCGTTTTCATTTTTTTTTAAAAAAAATGTGAAAAACAAAAACAAAAAAACTCCAAACACAGTCCTAAGTTTGAGATTTTTGTTTGGCCCTAACTAATAGTTCAATTTGCAAATTGCTATTTTTGTCCTATGATTGTTTAAAAATGTATAAATGAAAAGCCAAATCTTAAAAGTGAGATTGATAGTTTTTCCAATATTTTTTTATATCTGTCGAAAAATATTTCTTCAAATTAGATATTTGATTTGGTTTTTGGTATTTAATGCAAAGTAGTCATATATCATAAACTTTATTTCCTAATGAATGGAAATTGCAGTAAATGATGGTGTAATGAAAATAATTTAGGGTTTCAAAGATTTGTTCTTATATAACCCTAAGTATATTCACATTATCATTTATCAATATTTTATTAAACCACATACCTTTTTTAGTAGATAAATTTATATTTTATTTTTATAATTAAGAACGTATTTTTTATCAACTATTATAATCATTGTGTTATTTCTTTTTTGAAAGTATGAACCTGTCTCCAAAAAAACGTAACATTGTAATTTTAGGAGAATGGAGTTGAAAAAAAAAATATTTTTTTTGAAACATTTTAAACACTGTAAAATTATGTAGTTATAATTAAAAAGATATTTACGTGTTATACTAAAAAATTACGTAGTAATACAATTTTTCGTTATTCACTTATTTGCAAAATATTTGAATTTATTTCGACATTTCAACATTTGTACTAAAAGCCCCTTCTTATTGGGTCAGGAAGTTTGGATCTTTCAAAGATGAATAGGCCCATATGTGTCCATGGCATTACAGAAGACTCTAGAAAGGCTGGCTTCCGATTTAGGGTTTCCGTATAGGAGCAATTACAGACCTATAAATATGCTCTTCCGGATAACTTTCAGATCCGCTCCCTGCCTTCGAAACCTTTGTGCCCTCAACAAGTTCTTCCGGTATTTTTATTTCTTTCCATTCGCTTCTATCCCTTTTCATAGAATCTGTCTTTTCTTTCTTTTTCTTCTTCATATTCTATTTTCTTTGTTGTTTTCTAAAGGAATTCCAATCAGTTGATGAGAGAATAACTGCAACAATATGATGGATTAATTCCATGATTCTCTGTACTTAAGTCTCTGATGATTGTTTCATGTTTTATTTCGAATATTTTTTTGTTCGATTTGTTTCTTTATTGTTATGTTTTTGCAGTGAGATTAAATCTTCAAAGTCTTTGTGTTAGATATGATGAGTAATCCTTTTGGTCCGTGTTTCTGATTCAACCATGACCGATAACCCTTTTTACCAAACTCTGATCTTACGCTCTGATTACATATTTAAAAATCTCTTTTTTTTTTTTTTGCCTTTTCTGTCTGCATTTTGTTTCTCAAAATTATTTTATACGATCTTTTCTATTTCTGTGTTCATCACTTTTGTGGCTCTGTGATTACATGTCCTCCAATTCCGATTCACCGAATGAGCAGAATATTTTTTGATAAATTATGAGAGCTGCCAATCATAGAAATCTCGTCGTTTGAAATTCCGTATCGTTTATTTTCTATTTAAGATTCTTTTGAATTTAATTTACTTTTGTCCAATACTTTTTTGATTAAAATTTCGTTTATTTTATTTGGTATATCTGCGGTGATGTTACATGAATAAAAATACACATGTCAGACTTCAGAGATTTTTTTTTCATCAAAAAATCAATGAGATAGAATATTCATAGAGCTGAGCAGAAATTTTAATGTTTTTTAATTCTCATTTGTTTTTATTGTATTTTAGTTTTTAAATTTAATTTGCGACGCGAGGTTTCTGAGAAGAAGTCTCAAGCTTTTTATAGGGAGCAAATTTATTTTGTGTTTGTAAATTCCCAAGTAAGCGTCGTAGATAAATAAACCCAACAACGTTGAAGGTCCTCCCAGAAATGGGAGCTCCTCCGTTGGGGGCGGTCTCATATTCCATCTTCTTCGCGGTGCGCGGCGTAGCTGCACGAACCCTTGGGACTGGCCATGATGACCTACATTTCATTTTCATTTTTGTTCATCATTGTTCAATTTTTTTTTAATTTGTTTTTATTAGCAAATTCTCTTTTAATACCGTTTTTTCTCCAAAAAAAGTACATTACATTGTAATGTTATGAGAATGGAGTTAGAAAAATAAGCTATCTTTTTGAAACATTTCATATTTTATTTCAGTATTTCAATATCGGGAAATTTAATTGAAACTCAAGTTTTTTTTGAGACATCCCCCACGTATTTTAAAATTAAAATTGTACACTCCAATATTTTTTTTATCCTTGAACGATCTTTTTTCTTTTCTTTGCTATTTTTATTTGATGACATTAAAATTATTTTTTTCTAATTACTTTATTACCTATATTCTATTATCAAATGTCAGGATTTGAACAAAAATTCGCAATACATTGATCTGTTTCATAAAAAAGATTCAAATAATTAGTTTTTTTTGGTCCTCATGAGCCATCCAGTATAAATAATAATAAAAAGTTTAGTAGGAGAGAAGGCTGGCTTCCGATTTGTGTTTTTGTATAGGAGCAATTGCAGATCTATAAATACGCACTTCCGGACTAATACACAGAACCGCTTAAATACGCACTTCCGGACTAATACACAGTACCGCTCTCTGCCTAGGTAACTTTTGTGCCCGTCTTTAATCTTCCCGTTTTTTTCATCCTTTAATTCGCTTCCATCTCGTTTCAGATTATCTGTCTTTTCTTTCTTTTCTTTTTCGTATTTTATATTCTTTGTTGTTTTTGAAAGGAATTCCAATCAGAACTGCAACAATATGATGGATTCATTACATGATTCTCTGTACTTAAGTCTGATAATTGTTTCATGTCTTATTTCGAACATTTTTTTCAATTTGTTTCTTTTAATTTTTATTAATGCGAGTTTAAATCTTCAAGTCTTTGCGTTAGATCTGATGACTAACCTTTTGGTCCGTGTTTCTGATTCAATCGTGACCGATAACCCCTTTTTAGCACACTCTGATCTTACTCTCTGATTATTTATTAAAAAATCTGTCTCCCTCTCTCTCTCTCTCTCTCTCTCTCACTCCCTGTTCTGTCTATTTTTTTTCTCTCAAAATTATTTTTTACGCATTAATCTTTTTTTTTTTTTTTTTTTAATTGTTCGTCACTTTTGTGGCTCTGTGATTACCTGCCCTAATTGGGCGATATACGCTATTCCGATTCACAGAATGAGCAGATTATTTTTTGATCAAATATGAGAGCTGCAAATCCTACAAATCTCGTCGTTTTCAGTGCCGTATCGTTTATTTTCTGATACACGAATCTCCGAATTTAATTTACTTTTGTCCAATACTTTTTTGATTGAAATTTTGTTTATTTTATTTGGTATCTGTGCAGTGATGTTACACGAATAAAAATACACGTCAGACTTCGAGATTTTTTTCATCGAAAAATCAATGAGATAAAATATTCATACAGCTGAGCAGAAATTTTATTGTTTTTTAATTCTAATTTGATTTGATGTTGTTTTTGTTTTTAAATTTAATTTGCGACGTTAGATTTCTGAGAAGAAGTCTCAAGCTTTTTATAGGGAGCAAATTTATTTTGTGTTTGTAAATTCCCAAGTAAGCGTCGTAGAATAAAACAAGCAACGTTGAAGGTCCTCTCAGAAATGGGAGCTCCTCCGTTGTGGGTGGTCTCATATTCCATCTTCTTCGCGGTGCGCGGCGTAGCGGCATGAACCCTTGGGACTGGCCATGATGACCTACATTTCATTTTCATTTTTTCCTTTATGATTGTTCAGTTTATTATTTATTATTTTTCTATTTTCTTAGCAAATTCTTATTTAATCCGGTTTTTCCTGCAAGAAACGACAAGTAGCATAACCAAAATCCGTATTAGTAAATAAGGTAAAAAAAAATGAAGAAAAAATGGAGGACATTAATATGCGTTAAGGAACGTATCTCTAGACGAGCAAAATTAGAACGGTCTATAAATGATGTTTTCGCATATGAGAAGTTGAAGCTACTCGTATTAAAAAATGATTTTATGCAGATTAGGTGAATATAAACTTTATTTATCGGTATAGTGGTGTATCACAGGAGGTTTTTTTTATATTTGAATGCTTAAGTAGAGGCGAAACATGGAAAAGATACCAGCGACATCGATTGAGAACTACATACATTGTTGGGAACGGCATCGAAATCTATAACTACTTATAATGAAAACGAGAACGAGGTTGTGAACCAGTTACATAGTTGGTCACAGCTTTAATATTTTACATGAATAAACGTAGAAGTTAGTAAAGTTACGGTAAATAATTAATACAAGTAATATTTTAGAATTTGTTAAAGAAAATAATTAAAAAAATGTAGTAAAAAATCGTAAAAAGAAATAAAAAGAAAATTTTGAGGTATAAATTTTTTTACCATGCAAGTTCAATCGTAAATAATAAAATATTTATTTTAAATCGCTTAAATTCTTCTATTTAGTTAGTGTAGTTTTAAAAATCTCTAATTTATGTTATACACACTACATAAATCAGATTATAGAAAACAATAATTAACTATGAAAAGAGCATGTCTAAAATACCTCATAAGAGCAAGTAAAAGGAAATAAGCTTTAGCTTCCAATTGCATTATTTTAGTTTGGTTCAGAAAAAAAAAGAAAAAAAAATTGGTGTCAAGCTTTTTTATTATTATTACTACTATTTTTGTAAATCTCTTTCAGATGAAGTTGTGCATAAAAAGCTTTCTTCTTATTCCAATATTTCCTAGTCAATAGAATTTCGTGCCTAGAACGCTAAATAGCCGATTGAACACGTTTTAAAAATGGAGTTTGTATTTTTTTAAAATAAATGATAATAAAGTAAAAGAAGGACGAAAATCAGACAAATTTTTACAGATTTAAAATTCCATGCTCGCCTACCATGACACCAGTGATACTACGTCCGTTCTTTTAAAATAATATGTGTATATATATATTTTAATATGTATGTTAACTTTGCTTCACAAAGAAAAATGGAAAAATAATTTTTTTTTTTGGAAGTGAAGTAATCATCAATTTAATATTACTATGATACCTACCATTATATGCTATGCTAATTATTAACAATCAAAAGTACTCAAGCTAGGTGAAATAAAAATCAGTCATAATGACCATATCTCCCGATCAGTTTTCCATTTTCGGCTTCTACTCTAAAACGTCACTCCTTACCATCACTCAATACACTTTGATCAACTTCGTATCGAAAAATAGAAATTCTTGATAATTTTTATTTCTTTGCTAATTAATCACCATAAAATCCGCACTACCGTAAAAAATGGCGGCTGACTATTTGCATGAACCATTGCCTTTCGCAAACACTTTATTCACAATTTGCATGCACCGTTGATCATCACAAACACTTTCCTCACTATTTTACATGCACCGTTGATATTCACACACACTTTCCTCAAGTGGGCCCATTGAAAAATACACGCAAATAAACAAAAATGGGCAGCCCGGAAACAAGACGGAAGCTAATAGGAAATTCATCAAGTGCCTTGGTCACTACGGCATAAAGCTTCTTCTTCCTCTCTCACTCTATATAGGATCACTAAAAACGCTGCTCAAAATTCACAATCTAGCTAGTAAAAACTCACACTGATATAGTTCGCAAAAATGATGGTCAACATGGGGCATATGTTTTCTCATGTGGGCTCAATTATGGCCAGCGTGATGTTTGTTTATGCCATGTTCCAACAATATTTTCCTTATCAGTTCCTAAGTTACTTCGCAAAATACTCCGACAAAGTGTTGGGGTTTGTCTACCCTTATATCCGAATCAAATTTGATGAGTACCCCGGTGATCGTTTCAAGCGAAATGAGGTCTACACGGCCATCAAAACCTACCTCAGCGCCAATTCCTCCGCGCGAGCCAAGCGCCTCAAGGCGCACGACATCAAAGACAGCAAGTCCCTCGTTCTTAGCATTGACGACAACGAGGAAGTCACCGACGAATTCGAAGGCGTCAAACTTTGGTGGACATCCCACACAAGCTCCCCAAAGAACAACACCTTTAGTTGGTACCCCAACTCGGACGACAAGAGGTCTTACACGCTCACCTTCCATAGACGTCACCGAGACCTAATCACCACTTCTTATCTTGGCCATGTCGTCAAGGAAGGGAAAGCAATAGAGGTGAAGAATCGGCAGAGGAAGCTTTACACCAATGGCAGCAATGAGAGTTGGTATGGTGGGAAGAGGACTAAGTGGAGCCATGTCCTCTTTGAGCACCCGGCGACCTTCGACACTTTGGCTATGGACCCTAAGAAGAAGAAGGAGATTGTCAATGATCTGCTCAAGTTCAAGAAGGGAAAAGAGTACTACGCCAAAGTTGGCAAGGCTTGGAAACGAGGGTATCTTCTTTATGGTCCTCCGGGGACTGGTAAGTCAACCATGGTCTCCGCCATGGCTAACTTTTTAGATTATGATGTCTATGATTTGGAACTCACATCAGTTAAGGACAACACCGAGCTGAGGAAGCTGTTGAT